GGGGCCCCCACGGAGGCCCCCGACCTGCCGCCCCACACCACCAGGTCCGTCACCAGCGTCTTCCTTCACTGAGCTCGTCGAATTGCTCAGAAACGCGAGAAGGAAGAGAGAAAGGGGAGGAGAGAGGAAAAGAAGAGGGTGGCAGGCAGGATACACAGGAACGAGGAAGAAAAAATTATTCGACAGACCAGAGGAAGAGACGCTCGCGAACTTGCACCTTCACTTTCCATCCGGAAGTCGCGATGTCCCTATTGTAGGACAACTACGCTCTTCCATATTTCCATTGAAACGACGACGATTGTACGACGGTGTACGAGCGAGCTGTGCAGATACTCTTCGTTACGAAAGACAGAAAGAAAGTATAGGATGGAGAGAAGAGTAGCGGATTGATCGTTAACTCGAAGCCATCCAACGCGCGATTTTGCCGGAAAGTTATCCGAACACGCAACAAGTAGGCTAGAAGGAAGCGGAGGAAGGTCCGCTGCTGGGAGTCGTAACTAATCAACGCGCCTAAGTAACCGATTAAACCTATCTACCTAAACTAAAGAACAAAATGAAAAAAAAAACTGCTATGTAACGAACGAAAGAGAACGAGAGAAAGAGAAAAAGAGAGAGAGAGAGAGAGAGAGAGAGAATAAGAGAACGAGTGGGTGTATTTAAGAGAAGGTGAAAGAAGTCTCTGATCGAACGCTCGATTTCGGAGAACCTTAGCAGAGAAAGCTAATCAATTACTGTCCAACCGCCGCCCGTTCGCTCTACCACGGAGGATCGACTGACCCTGGGGCTTCGACCTCTCCTCCACGCCGCCGCGACAGACGAACTTCCTTCCTCCTGGGTATAAATAAAGAGGGAAGAAAATGGAAAAGACGGAGGAAGGTTTGGAAGAACCGACGACCAAGTAAAGTTGTCGTATCGTGGCTAAAAGTTTCGTAACGTCGAACGAAAGCGACTTTAAAGAGTTCGTGGACGTTGATCTCCGCCGAAGTACCGGCTGATGGCGAAACTTTCCGACGGCAGGCGTCTCCTTTTCATCCCGCCCTTCGATATTTATGTGGATTTCGTTACGCGAGAACAGGCGCGAGTTATTCGCCATCGACTGGTACTACTCGTGTCTTGGAGTTCCTTCGAAGAATGTATCGCCTACGAAAATTCGGCTACGCTCTGTTCGCGGTTGAAAGAAAATGGTATGTATCGTGGAAAATTTTGTAGAGGCGGAGAGGCGAAACGTGGATCAACAGGGTCGATGGAGCAACGGACGCGCGTTAATAGTTGTTTTGTACGATTCGTATTCTTAACGCGAGTAAATGTAAGATGCCAAGAAACGTCGATGTGTGTACTGGTTAGCCGCGACTCCTGTCGATCTCGCCTAGTTCCTCGCGGAGATAACTGACGGATAAACGAAAGCCCTCGCTTCCATTCGTCGCTTCCATCTCACCTCTGTTTGCTTCGAATTATTTCGATCCTCTCTCTTCATAAACTTAAGCCATCCTTCAGCTTGCAACATCGAAGTTTCCCATCAGAGAGGGAACTCTCGAACTGTAAATAAACCGTCGTCGTGTAACTCATCTAATGCCCTAGTTTCAATATCCGTCGTACGATCCGCGGGTACCGCGTGAACCCAACAACAAACCCGTGGCTTTGAACAACCAAACGTCTGAGAACAAAGGTTGAAGATCGCCCAGACAAGGGACGAATTGCCATCGAAAGGCCGAGTTATCCCACGAGGTGGGCGTGAATCGACGGTGAAACGGCGGAATTATTCGCATTACGAGTACCGCTGCGAATTATCGATGCCGAGAGAGATATGAGTGTTGTCCGTATAAGAGTCGAGCATTCCTTTTCATCCGTTCTATAGAGGAGAGATATAATCGGCGACGATCGTCGAGGAGAAAAGGTTGGTCGAAGGAGGCCGTGCGATAATAAGAATTTCGACGTTAAGTAGAACATATCAACGAAGCCACGTACCATTGATTGTGTCCGTTTCGTCGTATGCCATTGTCGTTCCTTTCGCGGTGAAACGAGTCAGAGCAGATGTATTTAAAGGAGGAAGATTGGTTTCTTGTCGCTTGGCAATCTGTTCTCGCGTTTGTATATAGATACAGCGATCAGACGAAGAATCGTGACATCGACGATGGGCAGATAGCACAAAGTGTCCGCGTTTATTCGATCTTATAAGAAAGTTGAAGGGTTGTTTAGCGTAATACGAAGCTCTCGTGAGTCGATTGTGTGTTGTAGATTTTTCGTGTGAATGATACGTACGGTCACGAAACGACGCGATTAACCTCGACATGATCGCTCGTGATCTAACGTGGATCGTTGGACCTGAGGTTCGGTATTAAAGAGAAATCGCGACGATTTGGGAAAACACGCGAATCCACGCTTATTGTCGATAATAGCCGCAAGGTGAAACGATCGTTCACGGGCTTAATAAATACCGGCGCTTGTCAAAGTGGTTGGTCATGGACAGCATTTAACGCGTTAAAACGATCGGCAGGAACACGAGGATCCGACAGACTGACCCGGATAAACCGCATTACCCGTACGATCAACGATTCGACCCAGTTTTTACCACAATTTCGTAGCAATTACCGAAATTGGCTGAAACGCGACGGAGAACTCAATTTCACAGGCGTGTCATAGTGAATCACCAGGGGACGACGATCGCCCATGACACATCGAGAAACGAAGATAAAGAGATCGCTGGTGGTTTCGTCGCGGGTCCGAGCGAAATTATAAATAAATCGAAATAATTTGAACGAAGCTCAAATTTGCTGCGTTTATCGCGGTTAAATGCGGAAATCGGCTTGAAACGCGATCCTGGTACTAGGATTCGTCTGTCAGATTTTGAGCATAATGAGAAACGAGGCCGTCTCGTTGGTTCGAAACGGGCTACCTCCCTCCCCGCGTGGAAATTAACGAAAGTAGAAAAACCTGTAAATGAGCGAACATGTCGGGCGAATTAATCGAACGATTTCGTCGACAGAGAGAATCCTGCGAAAGGAACCCGAGAACGTATTTACACATACACACACCGGCACGTATACACACACAAACAGAGAAACACGTACACCCGCCTAGGGAACGAGGTAAACGTCATTAAACGCGAGAAATAAGTTCGCAACATCGACGAGAATTAATTCAGTTTGAAAGGATTTGCGCGTAAACTGTGTATTTTTCTAATGATTTTTGGGCGAAGCCAGTCGCTAGGCTCGTTCTTCGTTTTTTGATTGTCCTTCTTTTTCTTTTCTTCATCGCCCTCCCAAAACCATCGATAGGAGTGAAACGGGACACACGGTCCTCCTGCGTTTTCATTTCTCTCTAGGTTTAAGGACGTTAACGTGTATATCTATGAGTTACCAAATAAATGAGACGGTTAGAAAATTGGCGTTGTTAATCATTTTCTCCTTTCTTTCAAAAATACGAGTGATAGGATCAAGTTTGAAGATTCGAGCTTTGGACAATGGCGTTCGAGGTAAGTTGACTACATTGTCAATCGCAATAATCTGTCGTGCTGCAAGAGTTTATCGTTTCCACTATTCGAAGAGATATAAACTACTACTTAAAAGAAGAGAAGAATCTGCATGTTAAAGAATATTCCATCTTATGAACAAACGGGTAACGAGAACAGAAACGTCGTAGTAGCATACTTGAAAAAGAAAATTGGCAAATATATTAGTAATAAGACCTGAGTCCTGATTTCAATGTTATACATAGAAGAAACTTTTAAAAATTGCTAATTCTTCGATCCTTCGAACAGAGGGTTAGTACAAAGTATGCATAGCTTGAAAACGTTCCCTTTTCTACGATCCATCGAATATTCGCGATCGAAAGACGCACGGTCGACGACGAATTCGAAAGGAATCTCGGCCAGACGCGACAGCAAGGAGAAACTTTTAAGACTTTGTCATTTTTATCGGCGAACCCGATATCCGGAGTCGGTGATTGGCTCGCAAAACTTTTCTGATCTGTCTTCCGTCCGCCTGCAGCGGTTCCCTGTATACTTCCACCCTTGAATCACCCATTCTTACCCCAAGTACCTTATACGTAAATCACACGGACGCTTTGAGACACCCGTTATAACGTGAACTTTTGACTAACTTTGTCTGGCAAGACAATGGCTGTACCTTTTTGCAATTCTGGCGTGAAATAATCTGATGGTAGAAAATTTCGACGATACATTGTTCATAATATATATTTTTAATATATAGACGTACATAATAAAAAAAGAAGACAAGCTCGTTAAAGTGAGAATGAAAATGAACATTATCCCTCGACAATTATTTTAATAATTAAACGCCATGGGGCTGTTAATGTTTGTTCGAGAAAATAAGATAAATATCGGTGTGTCTTATTTAAAAGAGAGAAATTATTTCATTAATTCTATTTAATGGAAGGAACGAGATCACGATTGTTTCATTGTTTCTCCAACAATTCCATTATCCATCATTAAAGCCGCTTGTTCCTCTGTTCGTTACTTCGTTACCGATGATACAAGCTGGCTGTTGGCCGGTCATTTTTAACGAGTCCGGCCGGGCTAAAGCTCGTAACACGCATCGAAATTTAAAATAAACCCGTGACTTCGTGATGAGTCAGTAATACTTAATTAACAAGGATCGAAGGAAATTTAGAACTCCATGGAAGAGCGGATACAACAGAGGCGTATTGAAATTTCAAGGCAATTTTAAAGTTCCAAAAGATACGGAACCGAGGTGATTTAATTCATCTCGTTACTGCGTTATATCGATTGACTGTTATTTAAATACTAACCGTTGCAAATTAACAAGATCATGCACTCTTGCTGCTAGTTAACCGAGAGTGGCGCTTTGACTGGTAATCAGACAACTAGCAATCGAACGATGTCACACAAATGATGTTTTTTTTGCGTGGCATAAAATCGCGGAATATTATATTAATGTTCCATCAAACCAATCCGCTACAACGAAGCAATTAACACTTTACCGACCGATAGCCAATCGGTTTTTCATCGCCGATGCTTATTGACCCATAGCCTATTAATCTGCTTTTCGTCGGCAATAATCTTTCTCATTATTTGAACAGTAATTTGTTATTTAGTACTAATGTACCTTGCTCAGTTGCGTCAATTGCGTTGCTTTGTAAGCTCCCACAGTTTTATAGCAATTTTAAAAACTTACCGTTCGTGATGAACGAAAAAAATTGAAGAATTAGAGAGTCTAAACCGAAACAGAGCCGGCGCCAGGGAGAATCTGCGCCTGAGCTGCCGGTCGGACGTGCGTATGCTGTTGAATCGCTAGCGGTCGGTAAAGTGTTAACAAAGCACGTGCCTTTAATTTTATCTATCTGAAACTGATATCGGTTGTCTAATTCCATATTTTTTGCTAAAACGATTTCTAACGTGACATTAAAGTTATAAAAATATTTTGAGCGCGTACAATTTAACTGACGTAATGCCGCGTACAAATGAAGAAGGAACGCGTCGAATGAGGATTTTCAATTATTATTCGATTACGTAGACCCTCGGACGTACCTGGCTGATTAAAAATCGGGAAGACACGAATTCCTGCAGCGGGTATCGAGAGTGACACGATAAGTCGTGGAAGTAGCCAGCATGGACTAGGATATTTACAACGTGCCGGGCCGCGATAACGTAACCCCTTCGTTTCATAGCGACTCGTTTCTATTCCACCGGCCAACCCTAATCCCAAGGCCACGCCTCGCGCGGCAGAACGTTCTAAAGATTATAAAAGCGGACTAACAGCCGCGTATAATTCACCTTTGTTATCCCGCATCATGGAAAGCCGTAATGATACGTTTATTCCATAGAATTTCACGTCTGTAGCCCAACGCCGTCGCGGTTCTCGCAATTATAGTGTATACGGCCCTTTGGCGAACATAAGAGCCATGAAAATAATAAATTGTTCCGTATACGCGAGAAAAAAAATCACGTTAGACGGAGAAAAAGAGAGAGAGAGAGAGAGAAAGAGAAGATATACAATTTTGGTTGGTGTAATTTAACGCTAGAATTCTAGTAATTAAAAATACGAGGTATGCTGTGTAATTTTATGATTCGATGTTATGGCGAGTCTCGTGTTTCTCAACTGGCTTATGCTCCTCGTCAATTTACCATCATATTCCTGAAATAACTTCTGACTAAGATAACGATAATGATATCGTTTTCCCGTGTATTTTCCGTGCATAGTGGCCATCAGATCGAAACCACGCGAAGATTTTAATTATTCTTCAGCTTTCTGATGAAATTGAGCCGCACGAGCGAATGCTAATAAGTATTGAATAATCACCGGGCTGCGAACGTGTATGCATTTACGAAGATGTGCAGATGATCATATTTCAATAGTAAAAACGTGAAAATAGTCTGCGAGAGTGATACGTTCTGATGAGAACGATCGCGATCTCAGGTGTTCGAAGCAAAACGTGTTCGAGTATATGAATAATGAAAACGGTAATGGTTCGAACTAGGAGACTTCTAATTGAGATAATAGATTTTCGATCAGGATCGAGCGTGTAATTTTCCGATTCGCATAAGTTTGGCGCGCGGAAAATATGCAAATCGAGATAAAACGGCGATCCTTCATTTTCCATTCGTATCACTTTATGCTTCTAATTTCGTGAATATTAATGAGTGATTGGCAAGCGTACAACGAAGAACACGATAGAATCATATTTCTCTTGATTTTTCGGCTTTGAAGTTGCTTCTTAATAGAACGTAACACTTGTGAAACGCACAAAAATACTGCGTATTTAATCCGGAACCCAATAAAATCAGTTCGTAAAATATAGAACCGATTGACAGAGTATTAAACGGAATAAAATTACTTGCGCATAAGGAACAGAAATGATTCATGGCGTGACTCTGTTCGATAATTAAATTATTGAAATAATTCGGATTCGCGCGGAAAGTCGATTCAACGTTTCACTGCGTGAAAGTAGAACAAAATCCCCTTGGTCCGAGCGGATTTTAATCCGATTCAAATAAAATATCCCGATTTCCAGCGATAATAATCCTGTCCCATGCTATCGTTGGATAGCACTTTTTCTGGACGCAGATCTCAACGTACCGAAAGGCTCGTCGGCTCCGATCAATTCTCAGCGACGTTCACCTGCATCCTATCAGAGAAAAACGCGCGCGGATCGTGCAGTTTTACGCGGCCAGCTTTTCCAGAAAAGGTGATCGACCGACACCACGGTTCCAGGGCTTTACCTTGACTAGCGATGCTGGCTGCGCGATAATTCCACGCTTTTTGTCGGCTCGGTTGCACGGAAGCCCTGGCAAGAAACGTTCGATCGAAATGCAAATTTCGGCCCGGGCTATCTCGGATACCACCACCAAGCGTAATTTTGATTTCACGAAATTCCTCTTTATCGAGAACTGATCTATCGTAACGCCGCCTGGAAACGTCGGACCCATGGATTCACGAGCAAACCGATACGGCAACTCGTTCCGCGTATGTAGACGCAAAATCGTCGATGCCATGAATCAAGGAAAAGAAGAATGGCGTCCGTTGGATATCCTGTTTTTTGCCACTTTCGTCAAAGATATCCGATTTCTAAAATGATAGTGTAAAGAGGATTCTCTGATTGAGTCGTTGAAAAATATGGCTGGTAGAAAAATTACCAATATTGTTTCTAGAGTTATATAGTCTTCATTATCACGCTTTATATCGAGTTCTTTCCACGTTTTTCAAAAATAAATGATAGTGTAAAGTCTAAGATGATAGTGTAAAGAGGAACGATTCTCTGATTGAGTGGATCAAAAATATGACTAAGAGAAAAATTACCAATATTGTTTCTAGAGTTATATAATCTTTATTATCTCGCTTTATATCGAGTAAAATTTTACCTATAACGTTCGTACATTTAGCTTTGTCGACTTGATAGGGCGCGGAATAGAACAACAATTTTTGTGGGCGGTCCACTTTGGTTTTGCGAAAGTAGCCGCGGATCTCGTTACTTAATCATTAAAGATACGGCGATGGGGCATGCAATGTTTCATGCCCAGGCCCGATAAATTCTAAATCCCTTCTATATAACCGCGAAAAGAAATTCTCGTTCGGTTCGTACAGAAGCTTCCAACACGATTTCCTCCTTATCAGACCCTTGAAACCTGAGAATCACCAATTACTAAAAAAATTACCATCTATAAACAAGCTTAAAACAAGGCAGACATGGCCACAGTGGGTTCAAAGATCAGATCAGATCAGGAAGTGGTGGAAACAAAGTTAATAATCGAAACGGTCTGTAGGAAACTGATAGCGAATTTTTGTTTCGGCCAAAGAGGTAGAAATGATAGGGTGGTCGATTGAAATGCAAATCGAGACGTGGCCGAGGTTATTCGGTGTACACGCAGCTGTGTTATAACGCGCCAAATTTGATCGCTTCTTTCT